TGTGCGAAAACTAAAAATAGTGCAAGCTCATGGAATAGCACGTTGGAAAGCCCATGAGGTGTACTTTCGAGATATAAAAAGTCCTGAAAGATTAATCGGGCAGATTTTTTTTAAAAAATATTTTTCCTAAAGTCAAGTGTTTTCTAGAGGGAAACATAAAATGGCCCACTGTGCAGCAATAAAAAATAGTGCACGCATATGAATGGCACTGCAGGAAAGCTCGTTCCAAGAGCTTTCTAAAACGCTATTACTTGGCCAAATCGATCGTGGAAAATTAGAGAAAAATTGATTTTTCTTATTTTTCAAAAGTTATCAACGAGTCCCACTGTGCGAAAACTAAAAATAGTGCAAGCTCATGGAATAGCACGTTGGAAAGCCCATGAGGTGTACTTTCAATATATAAACACTCCTGAAAGATTAATCGGGCAGATTTTTTTTTTAATTTGTTTTCCTAAAGTCAAGTCTTTTCTAGAGGGAAACATAAAATGGCCCTCTGTGCAGCAATAAAAAATAGTGCACGCATATGAATGGCACTGCAGGAAAGGTCGTTCCAAGAGCTTTCTAAAACGCTATTACTTGGCCAAATCGATCGTGGAAAATTAGAGAAAAATTGATTTTTCTTATTTTTCAAAAGTTATCAACGAGTCCCACTGTGCGAAAACTAAAAATAGTGCAAGCTCGTGGAATAGCACGTTGGAAAGCCCATAAGGTATACTTTCAATATATAAACACTCCTGAAAGATTAATCGGGCAGATTTTTTTTTAAAAATATTTTTCCTAAAGTCAAGTGTTTTCTAGAGGGAAACATAAAATGGCCCACTGTGCAGCAATAAAAAATAGTGCACGCATATGAATGGCACTGCAGGAAAGGTCGTTCCAAGAGCTTTCTAAAACGCTATTACTTGGCCAAATCGATCGTGGAAAATTAGAGAAAAATTGATTTTTCTTATTTTTCAAAAGTTATCAACGAGTCCCACTGTGCGAAAACTAAAAATAGTGCAAGCTCGTGGAATAGCACGTTGGAAAGCCCATAAGGTATACTTTCAATATATAAACACTCCTGAAAGATTAATCGGGCAGATTTTTTTTTAAAAATATTTTTCCTAAAGTCAAGTGTTTTCTAGAGGGAAACATAAAATGGCCCACTGTGCAGCAATAAAAAATAGTGCACGCATATGAATGGCACTGCAGGAAAGGTCGTTCCAAGAGCTTTCTAAAACGCTATTACTTGGCCAAATCGATCGTGGAAAATTAGAGAAAAATTGATTTTTCTTATTTTTCAAAAGTTATCAACGAGTCCCACTGTGCGAAAACTAAAAATAGTGCAAGCTCGTGGAATAGCACGTTGGAAAGCCCATAAGGTATACTTTCAATATATAAACACTCCTGAAAGATTAATCGGGCAGATTTTTTTTAAAAAATATTTTTCCTAAAGTCAAGTCTTTTCTAGAGGGAAACATAAAATGGCCCACTGTGCAGCAATAAAAAATAGTGCACGCATATGAATGGCACTGCAGGAAAGGTCGTTCCAAGAGCTTTCTAAAACGCTATTACTTGGCCAAATCGATCGTGGAAAATTAGAGAAAAATTGATTTTTCTTATTTTTCAAAAGTTATCAACGAGTCCCACTGTGCGAAAACTAAAAATAGTGCAAGCTCGTGGAATAGCACGTTGGAAAGCCCATAAGGTATACTTTCAATATATAAACACTCCTGAAAGATTAATCGGGCAGATTTTTTTTAAAAAATATTTTTCCTAAAGTCAAGTCTTTTCTAGAGGGAAACATAAAATGGCCCACTGTGCAGCAATAAAAAATAGTGCACGCATATGAATGGCACTGCAGGAAAGGTCGTTCCAAGAGCTTTCTAAAACGCTATTACTTGGCCAAATCGATCGTGGAAAATTAGAGAAAAATTGATTTTTCTTATTTTTCAAAAGTTATCAACGAGTCCCACTGTGCGAAAACTAAAAATAGTGCAAGCTCGTGGAATAGCACGTTGGAAAGCCCATAAGGTATACTTTCAATATATAAACACTCCTGAAAGATTAATCGGGCAGATTTTTTTTAAAAAATATTTTTCCTAAAGTCAAGTCTTTTCTAGAGGGAAACATAAAATGGCCCACTGTGCAGCAATAAAAAATAGTGCACGCATATGAATGGCACTGCAGGAAAGGTCGTTCCAAGAGCTTTCTAAAACGCTGTTAGTTGGCCAAATCGATCGTGGAAAATTAGAGAAAAATTGATTTTTCTTATTTTTCAAAAGTTATCAACGAGTCCCACTGTGCGAAAACTAAAAATAGTGCAAGCTCATGGAATAGCACGTTGGAAAGCCCATGAGGTGTACTTTCGAGATATAAAAAGTCCTGAAAGATTAATCGGGCAGATTTTTTTTAAAAAATATTTTTCCTAAAGTCAAGTGTTTTCTAGAGGGAAACATAAAATGGCCCACTGTGCAGCAATAAAAAATAGTGCACGCATATGAATGGCACTGCAGGAAAGCTCGTTCCAAGAGCTTTCTAAAACGCTATTACTTGGCCAAATCGATCGTGGAAAATTAGAGAAAAATTGATTTTTCTTATTTTTCAAAAGTTATCAACGAGTCCCACTGTGCGAAAACTAAAAATAGTGCAAGCTCATGGAATAGCACGTTGGAAAGCCCATGAGGTGTACTTTCAATATATAAACACTCCTGAAAGATTAATCGGGCAGATTTTTTTTTTAATTTGTTTTCCTAAAGTCAAGTCTTTTCTAGAGGGAAACATAAAATGGCCCTCTGTGCAGCAATAAAAAATAGTGCACGCATATGAATGGCACTGCAGGAAAGGTCGTTCCAAGAGCTTTCTAAAACGCTATTACTTGGCCAAATCGATCGTGGAAAATTAGAGAAAAATTGATTTTTCTTATTTTTCAAAAGTTATCAACGAGTCCCACTGTGCGAAAACTAAAAATAGTGCAAGCTCGTGGAATAGCACGTTGGAAAGCCCATAAGGTATACTTTCAATATATAAACACTCCTGAAAGATTAATCGGGCAGATTTTTTTTTAAAAATATTTTTCCTAAAGTCAAGTGTTTTCTAGAGGGAAACATAAAATGGCCCACTGTGCAGCAATAAAAAATAGTGCACGCATATGAATGGCACTGCAGGAAAGGTCGTTCCAAGAGCTTTCTAAAACGCTATTACTTGGCCAAATCGATCGTGGAAAATTAGAGAAAAATTGATTTTTCTTATTTTTCAAAAGTTATCAACGAGTCCCACTGTGCGAAAACTAAAAATAGTGCAAGCTCGTGGAATAGCACGTTGGAAAGCCCATAAGGTATACTTTCAATATATAAACACTCCTGAAAGATTAATCGGGCAGATTTTTTTTAAAAAATATTTTTCCTAAAGTCAAGTCTTTTCTAGAGGGAAACATAAAATGGCCCACTGTGCAGCAATAAAAAATAGTGCACGCATATGAATGGCACTGCAGGAAAGGTCGTTCCAAGAGCTTTCTAAAACGCTATTACTTGGCCAAATCGATCGTGGAAAATTAGAGAAAAATTGATTTTTCTTATTTTTCAAAAGTTATCAACGAGTCCCACTGTGCGAAAACTAAAAATAGTGCAAGCTCGTGGAATAGCACGTTGGAAAGCCCATAAGGTATACTTTCAATATATAAACACTCCTGAAAGATTAATCGGGCAGATTTTTTTTAAAAAATATTTTTCCTAAAGTCAAGTCTTTTCTAGAGGGAAACATAAAATGGCCCACTGTGCAGCAATAAAAAATAGTGCACGCATATGAATGGCACTGCAGGAAAGCTCGTTCCAAGAGCTTTCTAAAACGCTATTACTTGGCCAAATCGATCGTGGAAAATTAGAGAAAAATTGATTTTTCTTATTTTTCAAAAGTTATCAACGAGTCCCACTGTGCGAAAACTAAAAATAGTGCAAGCTCATGGAATAGCACGTTGGAAAGCCCATGAGGTGTACTTTCGAGATATAAACACTCCTGAAAGATTAATAGGGCATATTTTTTTTAAAAAATATTTTTCCTAAAGTCAAGTGTTTTCTAGAGAGAAACATAAATGACCCACTGTGCAGCAAGAGCTTTCCGTATTTATATCCAGACATTCCATTCATTTTTCGCGTTATTTGAGTCATTTTAGAAATGAACAAAAAATATCAATTAAATGAAAACAACTTCTTGCCTGTAATATTGAATAATTCTGACAAGAAGCGGGTGTAGCCTTAAGGCTGTATTTCTGTAGTTTTACGAAGCTGTTCTACCTCCTTATTGTACCATGGTAAATCTGCGCACATTACCAAACTCTCATGTAGTCTGGTAATGTGCAGTACATTTAGACTTATGAAAAATGTTAGAGGGAACTAGCTATAATCTGTGCACTTTACCAAACTATCGCTAACATCGATGTTTTTCCCGATAGTCTGGTAATGTGCAATACATTTAGACATAGGAAAAATGTTGGAGGGAACTAGCTATAATCCAAACTATCGCTAACATCGATGTTTTTCCCGATAGTCTGGTAATGTGCAATACATTTAGACATATGAAAAATGTTGGAGGGAACAAAGTATAATCCACGGTACAATAATAAGGTAAGGTAGAGCTCCCAGCTAATAACAATTTGTTTTCTAAGTGTGGCCGACTTCTGCCAATTTTGTGTATGTATTTGTTTGTAAAATCAATGATTGGAAGAAATTTATATTGCTGGACGCGCATTAATAATATTAACCAGATTTGCCATGGAATTGAAATATTGAACACTTAGGGTCATATTTATGTGAGAACATCCAGTCATTTCATTCATTTTTCGCGTTATTTGAGTCATTTTAGAAATGAACAAAAAATATCAATTAAATGAAAACAACTTCTTGCCTGTAATATTGAATAATTCTGACAAGAAGCGGGTATAGCCTTAAGGCTGTGTTTCTGTAGTTTTACGAAGCTGTTCTACCTCCTTATTGTACCATGGTAAATCTGCCACATTACCTAACTATCACTAACATCGATGTTTTTCTCGATAGTCTGGTAATGTGCAGTACATTTAGACATATGAAAAATGTTAGAGGGAACTACCTATAATCTGTGCACATTACCAAACTATCTTTATTGTTATGTTGATTTGTATTGAAGAACAGGACACCGAAGTTTGGGTAGGTATACATTTTTGTGAATTTTTATTGTTTAATATTAATAAAATTCTTCACCTTTTCAGACAAAAACACGAATTGTATGGATGAGAGAACAGCGTTTGAAAAATGAAAATTGGATAATAAAAAGAAAATGCGAAATATGCATCGGATGTTGGAGGGAAATATTGTAATTGTTGATTTGCATTGAAGAACAGGACACCGGAAGCTTGGGTAGGTATACATTTTTGTGAATTTTTATTGTTTAATATTTATAAAATTCTTCACCTTTTCAGACAGAAACACGAATTGTATTGCCATGGATGAGAGAACAGCTTTTGAAAAATGAAAATTGGATAATAAAAAAAATGCGAAATATGCATCGGATGTTGGAGGGAAATATTGTAATTGTTGATTTGCATTGAAGAACAGGACACCGGAAGCTTGGGTAGGTATACATTTTTGTGAATTTTTATTGTTTAATTTTAATAAAATTCTTCACCTTTTCAGACAGAAACACGAATTGTATTGCCATGGATGGGATAATAAAAACAAAATACGAAATATGCATCGGATTCTCTTCAAATGTTACGCATCCTAATATTGATGACACATGATAGGTGTGAAAATGGGATATATGTTCAACCTCCTCCACAACGAGTCAGCATTTTGAATAACAGAGCGGTAATAAAAAGCATTGAAGAACAAGACACCTGGAGCTAAGGTAGGTATATATTTTTGTGAATTTTTATTGTTTAATTTTAATAAAATTCTTCACCTTTTCAGACAGAAACACGAATTGTATTGCCATGGATGGGAGAAAAGCTCTTGAAAAATGAAAATTGGATAATAAAAACAAAATACGAAGTATGCATCGGATTCTCTTCAAATTTTACGCATCCCAATAATGATGACACATGATCGGTGTGAAGATGTAATAAAAGGTGAAGGTAATAAGAGGCAAAATAAACATCCGAATCTCTTCAAATTTTACACTTTGGAATATTTCTACTATGGTATGTAGATGATGGATATTCTGGTACCTCCGCCACAAATGATCACAATTTCAAATTCTTATAACTCTCATAACTTGTGGAACAAGTCAGTGATTCTGTGTGAACTTGTGATATAAAAATATTTCTGTCAACCAGAGATCAAAAGTGGAATTCTGTTTTGAGTTTCCAATTAAAATCAGTGAAATTGAAATGCTTATAATAGCGGTAGTTAACGAGAAAGTTAGCGATGAAATCAAGTGTAACTTATTATTTATATCGAGATTTTGTATTTCAAATTTTTGTCAGTAACTCAAAAATGAGTTAGAGAATCCCACTACAGATGTGAATATGGGATTTATCTGCCTTATGGTATATAAGGAAATTAGTATCATCGACTTAAAATAACTTATGTAGTTGTTTTATTGATTATAGTGACAGATTTCCACACAACCCATGAGGTACTGTCCCTGTGCGTTGCCATTTGTTTTACTTGGTTGGCTTCCCCTATAGGCCTACATACCAAGTTCTAACTTCTTACTACTTGTAATTAGAACTAATTAGATGTAACCATTAAATATAATTTTAAAACATATAATAAAGCAATAAATTAATAAAGTGTTCCTGATATGTTGGTAAAAACACTTAAAGTTGTCAGTTATTTTACTTGGTTGACTTCCCTTAAAGGCATACTTTCCAAGATACTACTTCTAACTACATGTAAGTAAGACTTATGGGTGTAACATTTAATATCTAAAAATAAATAATAAAGGAATAAATTAACAGCGTGTTCTTGATGTGTTGGTAAGAACATTTAAAGTTGTCATTTATTTTACTTGGCTGACTTCCCTTAAAGGCCTACTTTCCAAGATACTACTTCTAACTACATGTAATTAAAACTAATGGGTGTAACTTTTAATATAATTTAAAAATATACAATGATGGAATAAATTAATAGCATGTTCTTGATATGTTGGTAAAAACACTTAAAGTTGTCATTTATTTTACTTGGCTGACCTCCCTTAAAGGCCTACTTTCCAAGATACTACTTGAGAACATAAAAACATCGTTGCCTCTTTTTTTACTTGGTTGGCATCCCTACTGGCCTACTTACCAAGTTTCTCATATTGCACTTATATTTATATTGCATTAGAGTTATTATATGTACTGTAATCGTTCCTAAATCTATATTTATCGCTTATTTTTAGAAACAATTTATTTGACATTGCAAATTTCACACAAAAATTGTGTATTAACACTAGCATAGTAAAATTTAAAACAGGCTTCACAAACGGATCGGGTACAACTGCAACATATATTTGAGTGTGAACCATTACGACCGCAATGGATGCAAATAGTTTTGGTTGGGTCACTATATTCTTCCATTAAACGTGTCATGTATTCTCTATATTGTATTTGACATTCAAGATTTGTCAGTGGTTTATTTAGTAGTAGTGATTCTACATACTGTGATACAAATACTCCACAATTAATGGAATCAACCAGATAGTCATGTGGTAATAAATTTGTAGTCCAGTTACGAACATTGTATTTGTTTTTAAATATGTTAAAGAAAATTTTTGTCAATTTTGCATGATTTGCTCTTTTCCGAGAGTTTAAATAGTGAAATACTTTATTTTTTGTATCAAGGTAAATTAAGGTAAAGTGTATTGAATGTAATATTGGGATAAAAATTTTTTCATACTTATCTAATGGGAGAGGAATATATCTTGAACTGTAAAATATTGTTTCACCTTCGTGAGAAGCCGTAGAGAATGACTTTCTATCTTGGTCGCGGTGTGTTAATATTGTTAAAAATATATCAACAATGCTATTAAATAACATTTCTGCATTTCGCAAACTTTTAATCTCCTCTACGCCAATAAATGTAAAAATTGGCAAAGGCAAATTTAAATCCCGGTATAGTTTTTCATATTTAAGCAACACATAACTTCTGGTTTGACTTAAATTATTGGGAAGCTGTTGAAAATTCTTAAGGATTTTTTTAATACCTATATCTTTTGGTATTTTTTGTTTGACTTTCAGCGGCGTTCTTTTCCATACGTCTTCCTCTTCAAAACCTTTTTGAGTGTTTCTATTTCTTTTAATTTTTAATAACTGTCGCGGAGTTATTTTTTTCTTAGATTTGGTTTTAAGTTTCCTTTCATTTTTGTTTCTTTTTTTTGGATTTAAATGAAAGTGTCTTATTCTTTTTAGTTTTGCTTGTGCATAAATATAAGCATTCCGTGTATATGTAGTAGCGCGAATATTCCTGGTCTTTTTCAGTAATCTATTTTTAATTACATTGAAGTATGATTCTGCGGGGCTGTTAGCTATGCTCGTATTTTCGTTATCAACAAAACGACCCATTAAATTGGTCCATAAGGGTGCGTATGGGGCATATTTTGTTAATATAGTTTTAGCAAAGTCTTCATTAAAATATGCATTCGTTTTTCCTCCGTCCCTGATATTTTTTTTCACGTCACAATATAATTGTAATGCTCGTACATAAAAAGGACTTTTTTTATATAAGGAAAGTGGTTTGTTCTTAGAGCTGGTATTGTTTACATTAGACGTTTCAATAGTCGAATATTCCAAAGTAGAATTTTCAACAAAAGATTTTTCAATTCCTGAAGGTGCAGCATTCTCCGCTCCGAGTGCAGAAGTATCAACTACCGAAGTATCAGCAGTCTCACTATTGACAATGAAATCATCAATGTCACAGTCTTCTTCTGGAATAATATGTTCATGGGCAGGATTTTCTTTTTCAATTGACTCTAAAGACTGTAATGCCTCCTTAACAATTTTGGAATTTGACGGACTAAGTAACAGAATGAATATATTTTGAACCCATGCATAAAATTGGGAAAGATCACTGATATTAATGGCTACATAAATTTGCCATTTTAGAAACTTGACAATGTCCTCATTGAAATTGCATTTCTTAATGTCGTTTACGACAACCTTCATAAAATGTGCACAGCATAATTGGACAATTGTATATGATGGTCGTCTATTTGTCAAACTATTAGCATAGCAACACTGCAAATATCTGTCCATAGTGCATATATTATGTCTTTTATTGAATGTTATCAGAATTGCATTTATACTCGCACGACTCCAGTCCGTACAGAAACGTTTTGCAATTGGCCATGTTATTTGATGTTTATGACAATATGTTTCAATATATTGCAAAAATCGTACGACGTCTCCAGTGAAATGACTACTTAGAAATGCCTCAGCGATTGGAATCACAAAACCTCTTTTAGTGCCCCCGTTTTCTTTGATATGTGCTATCATGCTATACAAATAAATTGGCTTGGATGTTTTGTCGAATTTTCGTAAAATACTTGAAGTACTATCAAGGAATAATGTATTTCTACTTAATTGCATTATTCTTTCTTCTTTTATTTTCGTTAATTGTAACTGTTCCTTTGTAAACAAATACACATCTTGGATTGAAGCATATTGTATGTATTCATCCCAATTTTTGTCCCTTTGTTGTTTAATGAGGTCGTAAAAATTGTCTTTGTCGCGATCATGTTTCCTCATTTCCTCTCCTTTTAATTTTCTTGCGGCTTCCTGGGTTAATAAGTTTTGGTTGTTACCCAGATCCCATAAAGTTTCTGACATTTGATATATTTTCCTATCGACCCAGGTGGATGGTTCTAACTCTCTAATCTCATCCCTGGCCAGTATGCGTTCTACACCACGTACTTGATGTGGTATTTCTATATCAGGTGGGTGTACTACTTCTTCTTGTGTCGAAAAATAGTCGAACTTCTTACTCTCGCCAGTGTATACTTTGAATTTATATTTTCCACATCCGTAATTATTGTAGACACAATTAGCATACAAGTTGATTATATTATTTTTATTTATACGTGTATTATAATAATTTAACGGACACACATTATTAATAACTTTAAATTTTTGACGTACCAGGTCTTGAATATATTTTATAAATATTTTCGAATCAATATTTGAAATATTGGTCAAATACACTTCTTCGCTGTTTGAGAAAGTAATTGTACCGCCTAATGTAAAGCTATTACTATCCGAAGATTTTGATTTAACGCTTTTTACTTCTACGTTTGGAACCACATCTAATTTCATTTTCTTTCTCACTACTTTATACTCCTCAAGAACAATATCTGTATTCGATGTAACATCGATAATATTACCACATTGTGTGGAGCCTAAAATATCAGTTTTATCGATGGTTGTTGTGTTCCTTTCTCCATCGTTGTTTAAAGAACGTAAATTAGATCGCAAAGTACTTTCTGGAAAAATATTGCTGAAGGTTTCTTTTTCAGGAACGTTAAAATCTACTACTTTACGCTCCTCAAGAACAATGTCTGCATTCGATTTAACATCGGTTACATTGTCACATAGGGTAGAACTTAATATACCGGTTTTGCTAAAGTTTGTAGAGTTTTCCTCTTCTTTATTGTCTGCATGACATTCGGGTAAACTTGTTTCAAGCATACTTTCAGGAGCATTAGAGGTAGTTACAATATGTTTTATTTGAGCGTCCACACTATTACATACAGAACCCTTGCCATTTACATTATCCATACTATTTGGAGGATTGTTATTACTATATTCATTATTTTGGTCTTCATTGAAAAAAATATCTACGAACTCCTCAAAGGAAAGTACTTCACTTTTATGATTTGTGTGATGAGTTTCATCAAATTTTCGATCTGATTGGTCTTCCGGGTTGGAATCCTTTTTCGAGTATTCTACGTTACTACGTTCATTTCCCAATTCCATAATATTATTGTTGCTTGATTCGATATTTATAGTAACAAATTCGTTAGATATTATACCCATGTTAGTATTCATGTTTTCATCAACTATGTTTGCTTTGTTAATACTATGTACCTGTTTAACTGTAGCATTTTCCGCAGCAAGGTTTTCTGAATTATCAGGTATCTCATTAGGATATTCTGTTGATCTATCATCGGTGGGAAATCCAAAATGGCGAATTATTTCCTCGTAACAATCCATTAGATTGTTCTTGAAACATAATGTTTTTGTATTTTGTAGCAAATCATCGAATGTCAAATTTTCTGAATCCTAAAAAGATTAATTTTGTAGAAATCAATACGTTATAATAATTATTGTTAATTTTTCTGCATTTAACGTTATGTACTATAACAGATTGGTAATAATTTTTACCATATGTTTCCCAAATTCAAATTGGTTGTGACTGGTCAATATTACGGATAACGATTCACAAAAATGAATTTTAGTTAAAATGTTCTACTTTATGGACTGTTAAGTATTGAGAGTTTGAAATACCAAATTTGAAACATCTTGGATGAAAAATGTCAATATATTCATCAAAATGCGGAAAATCAATTGCAATAATTCTTATTCATGTATACAAAAAAGCATGTGCATTGTGCAAGTTTGCAAGGAAAATCCGAAACTGCACAGCGATAGAAGTTGAACACATCAGATAGAAAATATTTTCTATCTGTGAACACATCAGATAGAAAATAGTTTCATTAAGAGGCGTATCAAGATAACATGGAAACAATTTACTTTAGAATTGTGACAAATACTGGAATCAATTGTCAGTAAATATTTAAATTACAATATTATTCATCACATGGAAAGTTTGTAGTACTTACTGCAGCTTTAAAACGAGAGAATACTCGCTTTCTTTGTTCTCTGCTGTCACAAATAATTTTACCGTAGCTCAATGTGCGTGGATAAGTTAAGTTGCACTTATTTAGCTTTTCGAACAATTCTACATACTTAATGTTGTCACTTAACTTCTTAAAACTATCTATAGACTCTCCCTTCCTTTTATAATTCAGAAAGAAAAGCCTACATATATAACAAAATAATTTTCTTTTAACGTTTAACATTTTTGCTTTTCGTTTTCGAAACAAACTGAAAAATAAATGTCGACGCTGCACTTCAATTTAGACGCCGATATGTGTAATAATTACGGTGCCGTTAACTTTATAAGTTATTTGAAAAGCGTATTTAACGTAAAACAACATATAGTCAATATGTTCATAAATTAAAAAACAAAGCAACATTAAAAGTAAAAATATTAATTTAATTAAAGCTGCAAGTTATGTCCGATGTATAGATTCCTTTTCTTAATATTATAATTTTTTTAGGAGTTCATGACATCTTAAGTACCCTCAGGGCCCTACATTAATACATTAATTATGATAAATGTGTTTGTGTATGTGTGAGTTGTACATTATATAATATATAATATCATAAATATATACAAATTTTACAATAGATGTTTGTTTTTATAAAAACGTTAGACGTAAACGTCTGTGCGAAAAACAATTTAAAGCGTTACAACAATCGGGTACTTATTTTATCGCCGTCAGCAAACACCAAAAGGTTACATAAAGTAACCGCTTTCTTTGGGTTAACGCCTGACGTAAATAACAGTGGCTTTGATGTGCTAAAAAAATAACGGAGTTTGGCAAAAGAAAGCTAAAAAGTTTAAGTGAATCCTCGACAAAATAATAAGAATTCGTTAAACTCCTTCGTATTCGTTCATTTGAAAAATGGTAAGTTTTGTATAATAATATTTTAAAAGAACTTGTATTATATAAATTTTTTTTGTCAATATCTAGTATCCATTTAAGATACCGCTTAATTTACAAGTTAGCGTGGCTCCAGGTAACAGGAGAAACAATCAGTTTCTGCAAAGGCAGAGACTAATAAGAAAATTCGAAAAAAAAATCGAGGCATTAAAAAGGCAACAGCCGGATGCGCGCAACAGGCAAGAACGTTATGGCCATCAATGGCCGAATACTCACAGCAGACAAGAACGTTATGGCCCACAACATTCGCATTATAATCAAGTGCAACAATACCGCTGCACACAATATCCAGAACCAACATTCCAGCAACACTCTCAGCAGTTTGTGCCACAGTACTTTCCATCAAATTTTTTCCCAACATTCCAACCTAATTTTGTCCACACTCCACAACAGCCGATGCATTTACAGGCACAACAACACCACATAGTGCAGACTCACCAACAGCAAGTGCATATCCAGCACCAGCAGTCGCAACAACAGCAACAGCCAGTGGCACAACATTTTCAGCCACAGCTGTCGGAACACACAAACCACCACTATGTACAAATCCAACAACAGCCAGTTTCACATCATATCCAGCATCAGCAGTCGCAACAACACCATCAGCCAGTGGCACAACATTTTCAGCCACAGCTGTCGCAACATACAAACCACCACTATGTACAAATCCAACAACAGCCAGTTTCACATCATATCCAGCACCAGCAGTCGCAACAACACCAACAGCCAGTGGCACAACATTTTCAGCCACAGCTGTCGCAACATACAAACCACCACTTTATAGAAATTCAACAACAGCCAGCTTTACATCATATTCAGCCACAGCAATCGCAACAACATGAAGAACAAAATCACCAATCCGTATCTGTTCAACAACAGCCATTGCCACAACGAAAGCGTCATCCCCTACAACCCTCGTCTTTTAATAATTTATCTACCGAATTGGAAAATCTCAATTTGAGGCAGAGTAAAGACAGTGATCGCGTAACGGATGTGGAATCAAGCCATGAAAATGAGGAAAATAATGAAGGTGGTACATCAGAAGGTTTTCTATAGAAGCGAGTTTTTTTTTTTGTTTTTGAATTAATCTATTTTTTAGTTTTTTTTACATATGTAAGTTTGAGTTTGCGTTTTTTTTATTTTTTTACTACAATTAGTAATCGTCTTTTCGTTTTTATAAGATTAATTATGTTAGATATGAATATTTTATAAGCATATTCGTTTTTATAAGATATGAAATAAATATTTTATAACTCGTAATTTGCCCTCTTTTCTCATTTCAAAATCAGAGCTATTATAAGTAGATAATACTAATTTCGTTCTACAGAGGTTGTTATAAAGTATACACTAATTTGATTTTCTACACTGTTGCGAAAAGAATTAAAAAATACAAAATGTACAATATACGATTTGGTATATCAAATTGAAAAAAATGTGTGCAATATAAAAAACAAGTTAAAAAGTATCAGTCGGTTCTATGGACAGATGTATACCCTCAATGTCCGTTTACTCAAATACATATTTCAACATGCTTGACTTGGAAAGGTTCCGAAAGAATAGGACAATATTATCCTAACAACGTGCCAGATTTGGACTTTTTGTCTGTTCCAAACCCAGCAATCATTTACTGGTTTTTGCTTTTTTTCAATACCTCAAAGGAAAATTAGTTATCTTATTAAATAGTTTTAAATCCTTGCATTTCTGTAACAGAGCATACATTGAGTACTTCCTCTACTACATATAAGATAGATATGTGATAATTGTCGAAAATGTTGAAATGTGCTGGATGTAACATACATAGTTGGCCGAAGTGTCCCACCTAATCCAATATGGATAAGAATAGTGCAAACTTTAAAGAAAAACGAACATTTATTATTTTATGCTTATATTTATAGATTTAAATTTTTTGTGGCGGACATAGCAAAAGGCTGATAAATCTTATATTCACATCAATAGTGGGATTCTCTAACTCATTTTTTGAGTTACCGACAAAAATCTTTAACTTCGAAATCCAAAATCTGGATATAAACAATAAGTTAAAGTTGACAACATTGGTAGGTCTTACATACTACTTTGATTTCATCGCTAACTTTCCGAAAAAAAAACTCGTAATTACCGAAATTATAAGCATTTCAATTTCACTGACTTTTGTCGGTAACTCAAAACAAAATTCCACTATTGATCTCTGGTTGACAGAAATATTTTAATATACCAAGTTCACATAGAATCACTGACTTGTTCCGCATGTTATGAGAGCTATAAGTATTTGAAATTGTGATCATTTGTGGCGGAGGTACCAGAATAAGACCAATATCCAACATCTTCATACCACATCTTGTTGTTCCGAAGTGTAAAATTTGAAGAGATTCGGATGCTTATTTTGCCTTTTATTACCATTTAGTTCTATATATATCCCATCTTCACACCGATCATGTGTCATCAATATTGGGATGCGTAAAATAAAGAGAATCCGATGCATATTTCGCATTTTGTTTTCATTATGCAATTTTCAAGTTTCTGTATGAAAAGGTGAAGAATTTTATTAAAATTAAACAATAAAAATTCACAAAAATATATGCCTACCTAAGCTCCAGGTGTCTTGGTCTTCAATGCTTTTTTTCACCGCTCTGTTATTCAAAATGCTGACTCGTTGTGGAGGAGGTTGAACATATATCCCATTTTCACACCGATCATATGTCATCAATATTAGGATGCGTAACATTTGAAGAGAACCCGATGCATATTTCGTATTTTGTTTTTATTATCCCATCCATGGCAATACAATTCGTGTTTCTGTCTGAAAAGGTGAAGAATTTTATTAAAATTAAACAATAAAAATTCACAAAAATATATACCTACCTAAGCTCCAGGTGTCTTGTTCTTCAATGCTTTTTATTACCGCTCTGTTATTCAAAATGCTGACTCGTTGTGGAGGAGGTTGAACATATATCCCATTTTCACACCGATCATGTGTCATCAATATTAGGATGCGTAACATTTGAAGAGAATCCGATGCATATTTCGTATTTTGTTTTTATTATCCCATCCATGGCAATACAATTCGTGTTTCTGTCTGAAAAGGTGAAGAATTTTATTAAAATTAAACAATAAAAATTCACAAAAATGTATACCTACCCAAGCTTCCGGTGTCCTGTTCTTCAATGCAAATCAACAATTACAATATTTCCCTCCAACATCCGATGCATATTTCGCATTTTTTTTATTATCCAATTTTCATTTTTCAAAAGCTGTTCTCTCATCCATGGCAATACAATTCGTGTTTCTGTCTGAAAAGGTGAAGAATTTTATAAATATTAAACAATAAAAATTCACAAAAATGTATACCTACCCAAGCTTCCGGTGTCCTGTTCTTCAATGCAAATCAACAATTACAATATTTCCCTCCAACATCCGATGCATATTTCGCATTTTCTTTTTATTATCCAATTTTCATTTTTCAAACGCTGTTCTCTCATCCATACAATTCGTGTTTTTGTCTGAAAAGGTGAAGAATTTTATTAATATTAAACAATAAAAATTCACAAAAATGTATACCTACCCAAACTTCGGTGTCCTGTTCTTCAATACAAATCAACATAACAATAAAGATAGTTTGGTAATGTGCACAGATTATAGGTAGTTCCCTCTAACATTTTTCATATGTCTAAATGTACTGCACATTACCAGACTATCGAGAAAAACATCGATGTTAGTGATAGTTAGGTAATGTGGCAGATTTACCATGGTACAATAAGGAGGTAGAACAGCTTCGTAAAACTACAGAAACACAGCCTTAAGGCTATACCCGCTTCTTGTCAGAATTATTCAATATTACAGGCAAGAAGTTGTTTTCATTTAATTGATATTTTTTGTTCATTTCTAAAATGACTCAAATAACGCGAAAAATGAATGAAATGACTGGATGTTCTCACATAAATATGACCCTAAGTGTTCAATATTTCAATTCCATGGCAAATCTGGTTAATATTATTAATGCGCGTCCAGCAATATAAATTTCTTCCAATCATTGATTTTACAAACAAATACATACACAAAATTGGCTGAAGTCGGCCACACTTAGAAAACAAATTGTTATTAGCTGGGAGCTCTACTTTACCTTATTATTGTACCGTGGATTATACTTTGTTCCCTCCAACATTTTTCATATGTCTAAATGTATTGCACATTACCAGACTATCGGGAAAAACATCGATGTTAGCGATAGTTTGGATTATAGCTAGTTCCCTCCAACATTTTTCCTATGTCTAAATGTATTGCACATTACCAGACTATCGGGAAAAACATCGATGTTAGCGATAGTTTGGTAAAGTGCACAGATTATAGCTAGTTCCCTCTAACATTTTTCATAAGTCTAAATGTACTGCACATTACCAGACTACATGAGAGTTTGGTAATGTGCGCAGATTTACCATGGTACAATAAGGAGGTAGAACAGCTTCGTAAAACTACAGAAATACAGCCTTAAGGCTACACCCGCTTCTTGTCAGAATTATTCAATATTACAGGCAAGAAGTTGTTTTCATTTAATTGATATTTTTTGTTCATTTCTAAAATGACTCAAATAACGCGAAAAATGAATGGAATGTCTGGATATAAATACGGAAAGCTCTTGCTGCACAGTGGGTCATTTATGTTTCTCTCTAGAAAACACTTGACTTTAGGAAAAATATTTTTTAAAAAAAATATGCCCTATTAATCTTTCAGGAGTGTTTATATCTCGAAAGTACACCTCATGGGCTTTCCAACGTGCTATTCCATGAGCTTGCACTATTTTTAGTTTTCGCACAGTGGGACTCGTTGATAACTTTTGAAAAATAAGAAAAATCAATTTTTCTCTAATTTTCCACGATCGATTTGGCCAAGTAATAGCGTTTTAGAAAGCTCTTGGAACGAGCTTTCCTGCAGTGCCATTCATATGCGTGCACTATTTTTTATTGCTGCACAGTGGGCCATTTTATGTTTCCCTCTAGAAAAGACTTGACTTTAGGAAAAATATTTTTTAAAAAAAATCTGCCCGATTAATCTTTCAGGAGTGTTTATATATTGAAAGTATACCTTATGGGCTTTCCAACGTGCTATTCCACGAGCTTGCACTATTTTTAGTTTTCGCACAGTGGGACTCGTTGATAACTTTTGAAAAATAAGAAAAATCAATTTTTCTCTAATTTTCCACGATCGATTTGGCCAAGTAATAGCGTTTTAGAAAGCTCTTGGAACGACCTTTCCTGCAGTGCCATTCATATGCGTGCACTATTTTTTATTGCTGCACAGTGGGCCATTTTATGTTTCCCTCTAGAAAAGACTTGACTTTAGGAAAAAAAATTTTAAAAAAAATCTGCCCGATTAATCTTTCAGGAGTGTTTATATATTGAAAGTACACCTCATGGGCTTTCCAACGTGCTATTCCATGAGCTTGCACTATTTTTAGTTTTCGCACAGTGGGACTCGTTGATAACTTTTGAAAAATAAGAAAAATCAATTTTTCTCTAATTTTCCACGATCGATTTGGCCAAGTAATAGCGTTTTAGAAAGCTCTTGGAACGACCTTTCCTGCAGTGCCATTCATATGCGTGCACTATTTTTTATTGCTGCACAGTGGGCCATTTTATGTTTCCCTCTAGAAAAGACTTGACTTTAGGAAAAAAATTTTTAAAAAAAATCTGCCCGATTAATCTTTCAGGAGTGTTTATATATTGAAAGTACACCTCATGGGCTTTCCAACGTGCTATTCCATGAGCTTGCACTATTTTTAGTTTTCGCACAGTGGGACTCGTTGATAACTTTTGAAAAATAAGAAAAATCAATTTTTCTCTAATTTTCCACGATCGATTTGGCCAAGTAATAGCGTTTTAGAAAGCTCTTGGAACGACCTTTCCTGCAGTGCCATTCATATGCGTGCACTATTTTTTATTGCTGCACAGTGGGCCATTTTATGTTTCCCTCTAGAAAACACTTGATTTTAGGAAAAATATTTTTTAAAAAAAATCTGCCCGATTAATCTTTCAGGAATTTTTATATCTCGAAAGTACACCTCATGGGCTTTCCAACGTGCTATTCCATGAGCTTGCACTATTTTTAGTTTTCGCACAGTGGGACTCGTTGATAACTTTTGAAAAATAAGAAAAATCAATTTTCTCTAATTTTCCACGATCGATTTGGCCAAGTAATAGCGTTTTAGAAAGCTCTTGGAACGACCTTTCCTGCAGTGCCATTCATATGCGTGCACTATTTTTTATTGCTGCACAGTGGGCCATTTTATGTTTCCCTCTAGAAAAGACTTGACTTTAGGAAAAAAATTTTAAAAAAAAATCTGCCCGATTAATCTTTCAGGAGTGTTTATATATTGAAAGTACACCTCATGGGCTTTCCAACGTGCTATTCCATGAGCTTGCACTATTTTTAGTTTTCGCACAGTGGGACTCGTTGATAACTTTTGAAAAATAAGAAAAATCAATTTTTCTCTAATTTTCCACGATCGATTTGGCCAAGTAATAGCGTTTTAGAAAGCTCTTGGAACGAGCTTTCCTGCAGTGCCATTCATATGCGTGCACTATTTTTTATTGCTGCACAGTGGGCCATTTTATGTTTCCCTCTAGAAAACACTTGACTTTAGGGAAAATATTTTTTAAAAAAAATCTGCCCGATTAATCTTTCAGGAATTTTTATATCTCGAAAGTACACCTCATGGGCTTTCCAACATGCTATTCCATGAGCTTGCACTATTTTTAGTTTTCGCACAGTGGGACTCGTTGATAACTTTTGAAAAATAAGAAAAATCAATTTTTCTCTAATTTTCCACGATCGATTTGGCCAAGTAATAGCGTTTTAGAAAGCTCTTGGAACGACCTTTCCTGCAGTGCCATTCATATGCGTGCACTATTTTTTATTGCTGCACAGTGGGCCATTTTATGTTTCCCTCTAGAAAAGACTTGACTTTAGGAAAAAAATTTTTAAAAAAAATCTGCCCGATTAATCTTTCAGGAGTGTTTATATATTGAAAGTACACCTCATGGGCTTTCCAACGTGCTATTCCATGAGCTTGCACTATTTTTAGTTTTCGCACAGTGGGACTCGTTGATAACTTTTGAAAAATAAGAAAAATCAATTTTTCTCTAATTTTCCACGATCGATTTGGCCAAGTAATAGCGTTTTAGAAAGCTCTTGGAACGACCTTTCCTGCAGTGCCATTCATATGCGTGCACTATTTTTTATTGCTGCACAGTGGGCCATTTTATGTTTCCCTCTAGAAAAGACTTGACTTTAGGAAAAAAATTTTTAAAAAAAATCTGCCCGATTAATCTTTCAGGAGTGTTTATATATTGAAAGTACACCTCATGGGCTTTCCAACGTGCTATTCCATGAGCTTGCACTATTTTTAGTTTTCGCACAGTGGGACTCGTTGATAACTTTTGAAAAATAAGAAAAATCAATTTTTCTCTAATTTTCCACGATCGATTTGGCCAAGTAATAGCGTTTTAGAAAGCTCTTGGAACGAGCTTTCCTGCAGTGCCATTCATATGCGTGCACTATTTTTTATTGCTGCACAGTGGGCCATTTTATGTTTCCCTCTAGAAAACACTTGACTTTAGGGAAAATATTTTTTAAAAAAAATCTGCCCGATTAATCTTTCAGGAATTTTTATATCTCGAAAGTACACCTCATGGGCTTTCCAACATGCTATTCCATGAGCTTGCACTATTTTTAGTTTTCGCACAGTGGGACTCGTTGATAACTTTTGAAAAATAAGAAAAATCAATTTTTCTCTAATTTTCCACGATCGATTTGGCCAAGTAATAGCGTTTTAGAAAGCTCTTGGAACGACCTTTCCTGCAGTGCCATTCATATGCGTGCACTATTTTTTATTGCTGCACAGTGGGCCATTTTATGTTTCCCTCTAGAAAAGACTTGACTTTAGGAAAAAAATTTTTAAAAAAAATCTGCCCGATTAATCTTTCAGGAGTGTTTATATATTGAAAGTACACCTCATGGGCTTTCCAACGTGCTATTCCATGAGCTTGCACTATTTTTAGTTTTCGCACAGTGGGACTCGTTGATAACTTTTGAAAAATAAGAAAAATCAATTTTTCTCTAATTTTCCACGATCGATTTGGCCAAGTAATAGCGTTTTAGAAAGCTCTTGGAACGAGCTTTCCTGCAGTGCCATTCATATGCGTGCACTATTTTTTATTGCTGCACAGTGGGCCATTTTATGTTTCCCTCTAGAAAAGACTTGACTTTAGGAAAAAAATTTTTAAAAAAAATCTGCCCGATTAATCTTTCAGGAGTGTTTATATATTGAAAGTACACCTCATGGGCTTTCCAACGTGCTATTCCATGAGCTTGCACTATTTTTAGTTTTCGCACAGTGGGACTCGTTGATAACTTTTGAAAAATAAGAAAAATCAATTTTTCTCTAATTTTCCACGATCGATTTGGCCAAGTAATAGCGTTTTAGAAAGCTCTTGGAACGACCTTTCCTGCAGTGCCATTCATATGCGTGCACTATTTTTTATTGCTGCACAGTGGGCCATTTTATGTTTCCCTCTAGAAAACACTTGACTTTAGGAAAAATATTTTTTAAAAAAAATCTGCCCGATTAATCTTTCAGGAATTTTTATATCTCGAAAGTACACCTCATGGGCTTTCCAACGTGCTATTCCATGAGCTTGCACTATTTTTAGTTTTCGCACAGTGGGA